AATCAATCGTAATTTAAGGCAGTCAGAAAACAAAACACTTTTTATAAGGTATTCCAAAATGTCTTCATAAAATAATATCTTTAAGATAATTAAGTTCCATAAATACTTCTTATTACAGTACTGCAGTATTTGTATTATTTGTATCTCTAGTATTTTAATATGTATTAAATGTGGTTTATTTATCATTTGGGTTATGAACACCAACTTTTACATAGCATTTTATAATGCACTTGCCTTTCAAAACCATTTATAAAAGCAGTGACGAAATCTATTTTATGTTGTCGACATTATATCAAATGTATCGAATAAAATTATTACTAACATACAGGTTAGCAATCGTTTCACTTACCTTTCATAATCTGAAAACTTAGTATCTTTCTGTAGACATTCTTAATTTATATTGAGCATATTGTGAGCTCAAAACTACACTTTTGAAACAAATCATAATTTAAACAAAACACGCACATACTTTTAATATGTACAGTTACCGGTCATGTACAAGTCTTAATGTTGCTTTAACTGTAATATCAATACATGTATATGAGTACAAGTTATACCTTTACATTGTTTAGATAATTAACTAAATGACATTATGTTCTAAACTATGAAATCATTATAAGACATACTAATGTTCCAAGGCATAATATGAATTATCAAACTGTACGTAATAATAATTTCTGATATAATGCCTCGGATTTGACACCATTTTGCCGAGGTTTCTGCTGAGTACATTTTTATTATCCTATTAATATTACCAAGGCAATCTTATATTCTTTTAGTATATGAGTAGGACGGAACTCTTTTGTCTTTTATTACATCTAAATTGTTTTGCTCTTCCTCCATGGACATATGATTGTCTATTTTAATGATTATTTGCATTCGCATATTGAATAAGTCCTACATTTGAGACAATAAAAGAAAAGTCTAATAGTGAATCGATGTCTTTTCAATTACCTCATAGCACCAAATGAATCTCTTCATTTCCAACAAGATCGCTACGGGTACAATAATGTACTTAAATAATAGGAAAAAAATTCTGCTTCATTTACTTGAACAGCATTTCGTCCAATTAAAGAAATTACGTTGAACTATTATATTTCCTATTTCAATTAATTAGTTTTACAGTTAATTTATTTGATAGTTATGGTCACGAAATTCCATTCACGTATATGGGTTATAAACAGCAAATGTTTTATTATTTCATATGGTTATAACAAGCTTGAAATTATGTGGTCTGAAATGACATGAAGTTATTCTTTTAAAGTATTTAAAAAAAGTTATATCAATATAATTATCATGTTTTATTAAACTTCATACAAAGAAGAAACGTATGAATATTTTGATATATAAAAGAATTCAAATCTGTATACTTTTAAGCTTGCCTTAATAATCAAATACATTGTACCTATAATTTGACTATTACTTGATTTATTGGAATATTTTGAGGTATTTTTACATATTACAGAACATATCCTTGTTTCTTTCATATAATCTCCTAAACATGAAATGAAATACAATCGTCAGTTTTACAAGTCCTTGTTAATTGACTAATGCTTTACAATTTTATCAAGATTTTTCTGGCAACGACAGTAAAAGAAGTAAAATGTGATAGATTAGTATATAAGACATGTTCTTTAAGGTGGCATAATGCTAATAATTGTTGTTGTCAAGTTGGGCTGAAATAGTTATAAACATGTATTTCAAAGGCTAACTATCATAATGACCATAGGCAAAGTGTTGATAATGAAAAATATTCATCGTAAAATCTGTCAACATAAAAAAGATTGTCCCACTCTTTTTATACCCCCGCACAACAAAGTTGTAAGGGGGGTATACTGGAATCAGCTTGTCCGTCCGGCCGTCCGGCTGTCCGTCGGTTTTTTCTTGTCCGCCCAATAACTTAAGATTCCTTTGACCCACAGTCTTCATATTTAACATGGACGTAAGTCATGATAAGGAGATGACACTTATTTATTTTGAGGTCACCAGGGCAAAGGGGCCTTGACTTCAAAATGCTTGTCCGCCCTTTAACTTAAGATTCCTTTGACCCACAGTCATCATATTTGGCATGCAGGTTAGTCATGATTAGTAGATGACCCTATTGATTTTGAGGTCACCTGGTCAAAGGTCAAGGTCAAAGGGGCCTTGACTTCCAAATGCTTGTCCGCCCAATAACTTAAGATTCCTTTGACCCACAGTCTTAATATCTGGCATGCAGGTTAGTCATGGTTGGTAGATGACCCCTGATTTTCAGGTCACCAGGTCAAAGGTCAATGTCACAGGGACCTTGTCTGAAAAAAGCTTGTCAGCCCAATAACTTAAGATTCCTTTGACCCACAGTGTTCATATTTGGCATGCAGGTTAGTCATGGTTAGTAGATGACCCCTTTTGATTTTGAGGTCATCAGGTCAAAGGTCAAGGTCACAGGGGCTTTGACTGAAAAAAGCTTGTCCGCCCAATAACTTAATATTCCTTTGACCTACAGTCCTCATATTTGGCGTGGAGGTTAGTCATGATTAGAAAATGACCGCTTTTGATTTTCAGGTCAAAGGTCAAGGTCACAGGGGCCTTGCCTTCAAAAATCTTGTCCGCCAAATAGCTTAAGAATTCTTTGACCCACAGTCTACATATGTGGTATGCAGGTGAGTCATGATAAATAGATGACCCGTATTGATTTTGAGGTCACCAGGTCAAAGGTCAAGGTCAAAGGGACCTTGACAGAAAAAATATTGTCTGCTCAATAACTTAAGAATCCTTTGACCTACAGTCTTCATATTTGGCATGGAAGTTTGTCATGATTAAGAGATGACCCTTTTTAATTTTAAGGTCGAAGGTCAAGGTCACAGGGACCTTGACTTCAAAATGCTTGTCCGCCAAATTACCTAAAAATCCTTTGACCAACAGTCTTCATATTTGGCATGGAGGTTAGTCATGATTAGTAGATGACCTCTTTTGATTTTGTGGTCACTGAGTCAAAGGTCATGGTCACAGGGGCATTTAATTCAAGGTCACAGTGGCTTTAACTATAATAAGCTTGTCTGCTCAAATGCTTAAGAATGCCTGTCGACAGTGTATCGAGTTTTACATTTTCACATTTGAAGCATATAATTATGTTCTCATATATTCATCAGGCAAAGCTGCATGAATTGGGGGGGGGGGGTATTGAAGTCATTCAGTGGCAGTTTTAGTTTGGAGGTCAGTAGGTCAAAGGTAAAGGTCACTTTGATCTTCGCCTCTAAAAGCATGTAGAATACATAACTTAACAATGCGCTGGCTTAATTCCCTCAGATTTGACTGGGAGGTTGTCCTTGAGCTTTAAGTGACCACTGTTGAGTCTGACAAAGTGGTATGCACAACATTCTCTGCACGGCTCGCTATTCAGTCAGTATTACTTTTGAAATTTTCCTCTAAAATTGATAAATGACTTTGTCCACATTGACAGATGGCCACATTCATTTAGCGTTGCATGGGTAAGCAGAAATGTTTTAAAAGACTCTGAAAACTAAAGACAAGACAAATATGGGTTTTATTTGCAATATATATTTAATATGACTTTCTTTAGGGATTCTGTATTTCTCTATCTAATGTAGCTTTACTTAAAATGATCATTGATATATATACGTAAGTTGTAAGTCTGTAACATACATATTTCATTTCTCCACTGATATATCTTATTGTTATAATTGTTATATGAGCTTGTGGCCCTTCTCCAGATCTTTATACATCACAATAGTAAGTGTAAGCTGTAAAAAGTTGCCCGATACTTCACTTCAGTGTAATAGTTTCCTTTCCTTCGGAATCATTGATGCCAGCAATTATGTGTTGAGAATTGAGTACCGCTCAAGTCGGTGCTAGGAGGCGTGAGGGATGTTGCACTTATTCATTATCCCTCATGTAAAGACTGACTCAAACCGAGTCTGCAATATTCATATTGTTTTGTTGTAATTAATGCTTCCGAGGGATCACTTTGTTTCCAGATTGTTATATTTTTCTGGTTCTTCGAGATCATTGATTCAAACACTTTTAAGTAATGAAAATTGAGAACCCACATCGGTGATGGGCAAGTGGATTGAAGTCAGGACCTTAATCACTCCGCCACGAAAGCCCCTCGTTTTTACTAGTACATGTAAATATATTTTTTGTTTCAGTTTTGAAAAGTTCTGTCGACATGTCGTTGTTTGAAGATTTAGTAGGAAGCATGACAAAAAGTATAAATAGTTTTGTATTTACAACTTCATTTCATCAAAATATTTTTTACCATATCACCAGTTTTTTGTGTGTCTATTTTGTTTGAGATATACTTGTAAAACGAAAACTTTTTGACAAAGACAACGTTATTAAGCTTACCTTGGCATGAGGTATTGTGATTTGTAATGTGGAATAATGTAATTATATTATTTTTTTAATTAGCTATGGTTACATTTTTATTATCATTATATTCATCTAGTATGACAATCCTATTGGAATAACCTCCCTTTGACTTAAAAAATATATATTTCACAATTACCATTAATTCATGATCTCAATATACTTTTGGAATATACTTTATCACCGTAAACTTGGTATGGTACAAACGGAATGACCATGTCGGGTTCAATGTGATATAAGTGATTGCTTTGCAACCAATATACTTTGTAACAAACATCAATATTTTGTTATTTTTGTCATTGTTTCATTCTTGTTTTTCAAGAATTATCAAATATATATGCATTTACCTCCCCTTCGCTGTAAATTTTATGTACTATACAATATAGATCAGGTTGTTTTTGTTTTATTATAAACACATGTTATCAAATACTTTAACATGAAGATAATATGTACTTATCCAGTACAAATGTACATGATGTTCAGTTAAGTAAAGCGGCATGACTAAATGTATGAAAACAAAGTTTATCTCAAAAAGGATCGTATTATCTTGGAGAATGTAGTTAGATTACCTTTAATATTGGCATAACACGATATATTCAATTCCCCGGAAATTGATAAAAGGAAGAATGTGGTATTGTGTATAAATTTATTTACATAGCGGTCACTGATAAACACAAATAAAGCAAACATCTGATAGCACAAACAAGAATAACATACTGTATTAATTCAAATATTGTCACAAAATCATAATAATGTGTTTGAAAAAAATATAGTTTTATTTCGTGTTTTCAAAAAAAGGAATGATCGTTCATTGATAAAAATTTATTTACAATAAATTGCAAATTAAAACAAAATGGAATTTTTTTCAGAATTTTAGTTAATGTCACAAATATCTAAGCTTAACTGAATTTCAATTTTTTTCTCCATATCGCCACATGAAAAAAGATGTTAACAAAGTAAATCGAAAAAATATACATGAAGAATAAAACAAAATATAAAAGAAAATCTTGAGGGTTGTTAGTAACTCAGATTAGTTAAAGCGCTATTTAATATGTTCGATTGAAAATTATCGTGAATCTTTTAGGAAATAGTCGGTATTTGATGCCGCGTCCATGAACAAGAAGTATAGTGTTCTTATATTGTTTAAATCTTCTTCACATCATATACATAGACTGTACATAAACTGTAGCGAAACCCACACAAAATCATTTTAGGCTCAAAAACAATATGTTTAAAAGAAAGCATAAAACAAATATATATACAAGCAAGAAAATTACAACAGAAAAACTGCAGTAAGATAATTTCATCTTTCTGTTAAGAACGAAAACGATGAAACAGTAAGTGTATTGCTTATTTGGTAATTTTATTGATAAATTATCAAAATAGATACAAAGTTGTGTAAATTGCTATTATAATTACGCAATACTATATAGATGAGAAAATTGATGTTAAAATCTGACTGCTTTTACGTTATTATAATTAACTTACACGTATCAGAAATATCTTTCGTAATAAATCTTTTTAGCAGTTTAACAAAAGTAATAAAAGAGGTTCGATACGATGTGTTTATACGGATCACTTCAAAGAAAAGAAAATTGCAACACCAAGCTCGGGATTGTTTTCATTTTGTTTGTGAGGCTTTCCAGATATGCATTCACCCCTAGCCGTATTAGTCGCTCTGTCTATATCTAACATGTCAGACAATCCCGCATAAAGGCCAAGATCAGGATCGGTATAAACTGCCGGAACGTAAATTTCAAAGATTCCATCACGTCTTCCGATTTGTGCCGCATTTTGTAAGTCTGGAAAATTTGTAATAAAATCTTCCTCTCGCGTTAAATTGCTTGTGAATTCGCTTTGTGGGTAAATAAGTTTGATTTCTAATTTCGTGTAATCGTTCATTTCCTCTGTTTCTAGCTGTACACTACATTTATATTCTACGCAGAATGTCGTGTCTTCTAAATTTTGGACGTAATGCTCCCTTATTCCGAAAGTAAAATTTTGAGTATTCTCATTTGTTCCACCTTTGCTTGTTGCTCGCAGTTTTATATATTGACCAGGATATAAGTATGCCACTTCAATTAGAATTCGGACTTTGATAAAACACACTTTGTAGCCAATTTGCGTGTGTTGTCGATACCAGGTTCTTTGCTCCATGAGTTTTTGCATCTGGTCTCCTTGTGAAGGGGAATAAAATTTATTATAAGTAAACAATTCCGTGGTTTCTCCGTAGTGATATCTCAGGTGGTTTTCATCTTTTCCACTTACCATACACTGTGTCTCGTTCTCGTAAAACGGTCCAATGCTTGATAACGACATTTGAATCTTCAGTGTATTGTTATTATCCATAAGCTCATAATTTGAAATACCTTGAACAATTTTAGGAAGTCCAGCAAAAAGTAATTCGTCACCTTTTCTCCCAAAGTAATGGAGTGTTATATATGCATATTCATCCTCGCATATACCTATAATACATTCGTTTTCTGGAGAAAATAGGAAGTCACTCACTGTTCTTAATGTTGTTTTGTTGTCTCTAAGAATATGACTTCTAACTTCAATTAGCTTTTCGGGATTCACAACAGTTGTTAACAATTTTTCATCTTGAAAAAGTCTTATTTTAAAGTAACAGGGTTTTTGGGTTACTTGCTCAACATAATCGTAATTAAACCAATCAAAATCTGAAATAATTGACCAATCAATCTCACCAATCCAGCGAGAACTTTGCTTCTTACGCCTTCTTTTTCCAGTTCCATGGGCTATATTTTCCCAAATTCCAGTTTCAGTGTTAAGTCCCCATAATTGTACACCTTTGTCACCAATATTTGTACTTACGTCGTCTGGAAGGTACAGATCAATAACTTCATCTAAAACTAATGGGTTTCCCGAAGAATCTTCAAAGTTAAGGTTGAATATTGCTTGTGATGCAAGTTCAGCTCTTTGCCCTTCTTCATCGACAATTTCAAGAGAACCGGGAACATTATTGAAATTTGATATATCCGTTGGGTCTATAAATGCTAAACTAGCTTGAACAGTTCCAACATACTCAGAACCATTTTGAAGGTAAAATGCATTTGCTGGTACTGACACATGGACTGGTGACGACAAAGGTGATTTACCTATTATCAAGGAGTTTTCTGTTGATGAATCAATTTGAACTGGTTCTGCCTTTTGGATCATTTGGATCTCCACACGAAGAACTCCTTTTAAATTGTCATTGATTTCGATTACTTTTACTGCTGGAAGAAATCGCTTTATGTAAACATCTCGCAAGTTCAATGTTATTTTCGGAGAATCTTTAGATGCTACAAAACTAAAGGTACCGGAGCTACTTGTAAAAGTTATAAATACGCCATTTACGAATACTTCGCCATATTTCAGAGGAAATCCATCTTCCAATCCACGTGCAGTTCCATAAATGGTAAGAGAGTTTGAGATACATGATCTGCAACTACAAGATGTAACAACAATTACATCAAGTTCATAGCCTGAACACATAATCTTTTCCAGCTTTGATTCACCTATTGTACAACATGACGTTGTGTCATCGTGACATGAACCACTGTCAAAGGTTGAATTTTCTCTGCAACTCTTAGCTATGCACTCGCCAACATTGTATTTTGCTGTATTGGTACTTTGTTGAACACAATCATCGGGTAGCGCTATTGACTTTTGTTGCAATGCATCAGAACAAAAGTGATCGGCCGTCTCTATTCATGAAACATAATACATAATGAGTCAGTCGTGTCTGTAAATTAAATCGGCAATGCCAACGTTATTGTAAACGAAAACATAACATGACAGATGAAATGTTTTAATGAAATGTAATTTCCTTTTATAGTTTACATTTTCAGTAGTTTTGACATTTAAAAATAACCATAATTTATCATTATGAGAAAAATCCATGATTTGTCATTGCGTAATTACTCAAATTATGTACTGCGTATTTTATCTTTAACATCTTTAAACTATAACTTTTCTACCTTTTACAATTAGTTTTGAAGTTGGAGACATTATAGCCCCTGCCCTGCTGTTAGCTCTACATTGATAAATTCCACTATCTGTTACTGATAAGCTGAACAAATTTAGTTTATTCCCTTCTGTGTACAGGTGTTCTTCCAGAATAAGACCATCCTTCAGCCTTTGTGTTTAAAATGTGATTCGTATGTCATAATTTGTAACATTTCATTGAGAATATTACTTTGCCTCCGGACAAATGTTATAGTAAACAATAAAAATAATTGATAATGATGATATTAATAGTAATTATAACCAAACAGCTACTTTAACTTGCCTAATATTCCAATTCATAGACTGAAGTGTTTTCAGCTATACACTTTTATAATGGTTAACCAAGTAATATATAATCGCCCAAAAAAAAATTAAAATGTAAACAGCTAAAAATATGAATAATATTTTTGATATTTAATGGGTTTCATATTTTCTTTAAGTTGTTGACGATGCAAGTGGTTTATATTTAAAGACACAGCGGTAAAATGATTAAATGGTGCAATCGGCACTGCTAAACGTAGTTCATTTCAATATATTTGTTAACACAGGACTTTAAGAGCAGAAAGACTGATATTGTATTACTTCAAATTAGTGCAATGATCAAACTAAGGAAAATTTGTCATGACATAATAAATATAATTATAATACCATTCATAGTTAACAATTGCCGGACTTGCAACAGCTTTACAGCACAAAGTAACATTTTCTCCAACAAGCCTGCTTTTAGACTGTGGCGTTTCCGTCAAATAGGGTAATACTACAACATAAATATATATTATGGTCATTATAATTGTTTTTATAGATAATCTGTATAGTTTTACTATGATAAATATTGGATAAAGGTTTTATAAAGAATTATGCTGTTAAGGTAATCATAGTAATTGCTTGTTTTCATACGAGAAATGATCCAGAAAACCCCGAAATTAAGCCGTAAATTCAATATTTATAACAAGTTCGTTCGTATAACAAACACTATATTAACGCGTAATATACCCCCTTTACTAGGATACAAATATCACAATATAAAACATTATGGCCATAAATGCATATCTAAGCACAAACAGTAATCGTCTGAACATCACAACGTGAAAAACAGTGATGTCAAAAACATACTAAAGTGTTTTTCAAAGTATTTGCCGCTATACGCAATGTAATGCCTATGCCTAGTAACCAGTTAGGCGCATAATTATCTTCTCATACTATAAGGAGTCATTTGGTTGGAAAATTTCGGATGTTACTAGCCGTAAATCTGCTTACACTATTGAACGTTTGATTTATTCGATTGTTGGAGAAAGCGAAGAATTATTCGCGGCGTAAACATATCTGTCATTTCTTTATATCATTTTTCATCAATTTAAATGTGCATGATAAAATATTATGTTAATAACAATAACGAAAACAATCAAATTAAAAGTTGTACAATGTGACAAAAATAAATTATAATCTCTCGTAGTGGATATTTCTACAGACAATGAAAGTAATAAGCATACAATTACCTAATTTCGACATGTTCACTAGCATGTGAGCACCTGTAACACGTACAGTGCGGTCAACAAAGCCAGGCCTTGACAATAGTATTTCAGTATCTGTGCACACATTTTCCAAAGTAAAGAAGCCAGTTGAGTTACTTTCAACCAAAAGATCTGTCGGTGATGTGATGGCATAAAATGCAACATTGCTCACTGGATGACCTGTATTAGCAGCGAGTACTCTACCAGTTAAAACCGATCCTTCACATATGCATGCATCGCATTTGTCATTTATATTTCCTTTAGCGCATATTCGATTGCAATCTATAAATCAATTAAAAATCTTTATAAGAATGACCTCGAAATATTACTCTTAAAGTTACTAGTGGATCTGCGATAGAATTAAGTAATTAGTCCACTCGAACCATACATAAAATGTATTTTACTCGTAGAACAGAGAACACAATACACTCTCAAGCTATGCTTTGAGTTCTATATTGTCAGCAACAGCTTTCCGAAGCAAAAACTGTCATTTTGTTTGAACAATTCATCAAAAATTATATCGCTTTATACAGATACTGATTGAAATTTTAGCTAAATGTTTGTAGCGTTTCGTTATCATATATTGAAGATGTATATTAATATATATAGGTGCTCGTATAGCATATTGTTATGAATATTTATTGTTAAAACATAAAGATTCTTTTACTATGCATAACATATGTCTTAAATTTGCTTCTTTTATTACAAATGACAAATTAAGTATTTAAATATGTTCAAAATGACTAAAAACAAACCCGGGCATTTCCATTCTGAACATGTTTTATTTTGCGAACTTATTCCTACACATTCACGATCATCGGAACTCAATTTTGAGCACACACGTGACCGAATCTGTTTTCCTCCACCGCATGTGACGTCACAACTTCCCCACTGGCTCCAGGAGGACCATTTCCCATACACTAGATATTTGTCATTCAGAAATTATTCGTTTGATATAAAAATAACAAAGTAAATATTTATGAGTATCCATATTGTACTTTACATTTGTCGGAATAATTCAACCTCAAACCATTTGATTGTTGGCCTTCGAATCATTTCAATGCAGCGTTTTATTATTTATTTCTTTTCGAATATATACGTAATTAGATGTCATATCGATGTTTTATTTAATATTAATAATATTTATTATGATTTCTTCAAATGATTATAATACCAACAACTTATTACTAACCTGGACATTTTTTTTCCACACAATTTTTCTTTTCAACAATTTCACCTATACACCCTGTACTGTTACAAGTTCGGTAACGTGTTTGTATTCCATAGTTACAAGTTACTGTGCATAATGTCCAAACACCCCAAGGTGACCAAAACCCTTTTTAAAAAATCAGAACTAAACAGACAAACAAACCAACACTAATAAAAGGAGGTTCATTGCATTTTTTTATTTATCAACACGCTTTACATACATGTATTTTAAATTAATACATTCACTTAAATTATTAGGATACTAGAAATTGCCTTATATAATAATCTCATTAAAAACGGAACATTGAAATAAATAGACTTGATAAAAGATTACATTTGGCTTATTATATTCACATAAAGTACATGTATATCTTTCGACTTCATATACGATTATTTAATATTTCATCAATTAAACGAACCCAAAACAATCATATATTACAATTTTGACATGCAAATAAATGCAAAATGACAGTAAGTTTGTTATTAGCTGCCTTTACATTTGAACCAATAAGAAACGTGTTTAAATATCACAATGGACTACGTAGATGGAGCCGTATTAGTATTGCAACATGTATTTATCAATGTTACTGCATCTAAATGATTTTATTTTAAAGTGTATAATCATTAAGGTATTACTGGCGAAATATACTGTATTTTATAATTGCAACGTTTGATACTCCTAAGGTCTTATCTGGAGAATGTTTCAACACAACGTGTCTGTTTTACAAATAGCACACGTTTTACATTTGAACACCATATATCAAATTCGCTTGCAAACTTTTTTTTTAAATAAATCCAAATTAAAGGAAAAGTAGGGCATACTTTTATCGAAAGTTTACATTGGACTGAAAGCTTGCGTTGTTTACTTATAAAGATACAACCAAAATTCTACCGAACATAGACATTATATCTATGTACCTTTTAACTGATAATCATAATACATGTAATTAAATCGAAAAGCTTCCATTTAATAACCAAAGATATTTCCTAGTCTTGTTGAAATGAAAGAAATGTCATATAAACGCTTACAAACCTGTTTGTGTGATATTCATTGTCGTTGATATGTGGCTCACTGCTAAGACAAAGGGAGACTGCATGTAATTATCAAAGACAAGCAGAGACATATCTGTCATGAATTCACCTGAAACACTATTTCAAGCTAAAAGTTCTTAAAAAGGAATTTAGACTTTCTCCATAAAAGGAAAATTCATTTTTGATTTCTATGTATTTCATGCTTCAAACAGCAAAAGTCAAAACTAATATCTTCCAAAAAACATATGTTTATCGATGTATGCCTTTATTCATTGACCTTATCTTAAATATCTAGCAATTAGTTAACACCTTTTTAAAACAGTTCATGTTTACTAACTAACTAGAAAGCTACAATCAGAATTTCAATGCCCAATGTTGGAAGAATCTTTAAGACAGACAGCGTTATAATCCAAATATGCTTTAAAAAGGACCATTAATATACATTAAATCTTAAGTGTTTTGAAAAGAAGAGCCACAAGTCACGTTGTAAGAGCAGAGATATTGTCATCATGTTTTTTTTAACACATTCAAAGCATAATAGATGTTTAAATGTACACTGAATTTATTTTCGTGTTTATATATAATCACAAATATCTACTGAAAAGCCTGCCAACAAAAACTGTAAAAATAATACATATGATAGTAACGTCGACTTTGATCGCAGCAATCTTGATGTCAACATTTTAGAAAAATGCTAATGAATCATAGAAGCTATTTACTTGTTTACTTCTAAAATGTTATTTGTGATTGTAAAGCAGTTCTTATTCTTTTCAGTATGGCTGATATTCTTTGAAAAGTGGATTGGTCTTAAACGGACCAATACCAATATGTATTTAAAATATCATTGATAAAATTATCGAAGCATAATTATTATTGGAATATTCTTAAATTCTTATGAAATATTTTTTAGCAATTTTCTATTGTTGTATATAGAATTAATATAAAGTATCTGGTCATGTAGTTCACATCAATTGCATCTTAATACAGTTCTTTCGTGGTTTGTGTGATACTCAATACTATCAACATTAATGTATATTCTTACTGATGATATAACAGACCTTCAATTATTGGCCAATTCATTTTATTTTATAAAGAGCTATATTGTTTTGCTATCTCGTATGCATCTTATTTGATCCTTTTGTGTAAAGATTGTGATCCTCGGAGCATCAAAATGACATTAAAATTGCACTCAGTTTGATGCATGTTAAAAGCAAAATGACCTACCGGTTGTACTCTCTACCTTTCCTGCTGTACTTGTTACTTCAGATGAATCTGTGAAAAAGGCAAAGTAAAAAGACAATTTTAATTTTTGCAAGTTTATTTTAGCTTTTAAAACCGAAATTACATGATACGGTGGTAAAATAATGAAACCGTTATGTGTATCATCTTGTTTATCATATTCAAATACGGATGCTATATAAGAATCACGTTTTCCCGTCAAAGCAATATCACAATAAAACTATGTCATGTGTCATAACATAATAATACTTAATACTTTTACTTAGAAAATATTATAGACATGTACTAAAGTGGCAATACCTTTATTCTTATTAAATAAATTATTGTCATACTTTGACACAATAATCATTGAATTATAAATTATAAATGACCTTGAACTTTTAATTTCGTGTTTATGAAGCATTTCGGGACACATCGGTGGTTAAAGTAACAAAAAGTCATAATTATCCATACAAAACAGCGTTTTATTACAGTCATTGAAAGTAATAGATATATTTCATGCTGCGTTTTAATTTCTATTTATTGAGTTGAATGGCTTTATCTCTGATAAAATGACTTGATAATTTTTGTCCCCCTCTAAAAATTAATTTTCTATTTTATATTTACAAACAGACTGTGAACCAATTATAAATGTTTTCTAATATCAATATATTTGACCTTAATATATATTTAATATTTCGATTGTATAAACCAATGTTATTAAAAAACTGATACTCAGATATCAAATGCTAATTGTTTCTTGAACTTTAACTATGTATAAATGTGAGGGCTACAAACCTGGTTGCGTTGTCGTCATTGACTTTGTCGCTGTGGTCTTTAGTAATGATGTAGGGCCTTCTGTTGAAAAAGAAAGGCAATTTACCGATGAAGAATATATATAAACCCTCCATTTGCTGAATTTTGTAAATTCACTTATCAATTCAATCTACTGCAAAAATTGGAGAAATCAAGATTAAAATGTAAAGTCAGCACTTGAGAATCAATCAAAAGGTTCCGCTTCTACAGAGTAGCAATGCTGTATTGTTACTTTTTAAAGTATTCTCCTTCCTCTCAAATAGACTGATTTCGTGTATGCCCCATTCGTCCGTTATGAAGCACACATAAATATCTTTTTAATACTTACCTTTTAGAAATTTTAAGAATATTATTGTGAAATACATCCACTGTAATCATTACATGTATATACAAGATAAACAGAAATCAATTTTTCTTACGAGAAGTAGTTTCTTCCGTTGTTTCTCCACTTGTTGGATTTCCAGATACCTCTGCAAAATAAAATATTCAGGGTAAAGTAAAAACAGTGGTTTTTTATACTTTTTAATTGCTTTCTGTTTAACACCTAGATGAAATACAGTTTTTTTAAACAGACCAACTGAGTTGTTAATAAACAATATATCTTATTGTCGGCCATTCGTTTAATATGTTTTAACTAATAATCATATCATTATTCGAACAGTAGACATTCAATATAACATCCAGATAAAGGTGAAGTAAATAAGTGCCAGTACCAGTACTTGCCAAGTTATGCATACCAGTACTAGATTTTAGCTCAGTACTGCAGTACCAGTATTTTTTTAAGAAAGTTATGAAGTATCAGTACCAGTACAAAAATAAAGTAATACATTGGATTTACAGCTTATCTTTTGTGAAAAACTGATGTCACTTTTATTAAAACCAAAGTACTGCCTGGTAATACAGTAGCAGTACCACTTTAAAGAACAGTAATGCAGTACCAGTAGTAGCAACATTGTTAGAGAGTTATTCAGTATCAGAACCACTACTAGCAAAATCACTGCAGCACGTACTGCAGTACCAGTACCAGTAGCTGATAACAACAGATATTTCCTCCTTTTTGCTAAAATAATAAACGCAAACAAACCCGTTTGTTTGGTATAAAGTGTTGTTGATATCTGGCTTAATGCTGAGACAAAAGAAACTAAATGAAATTATCAAAGGCAAGCAGAGATATATGTGTCATTTATTCTTTTTTAATACTTAGTCTATCAAAAGCTTAACATTTTCAAAAAGGAATTTAGACTTCTTTAAAAAAAACAAACGAATTTTTATTCCTATTACTTATGTAATGCTACATACAGTTAGTAAAGTCAGAACTAATATCATCCTACAAAATTTGTTTATCGATGTTTTCCTTTTTTCCTTGACCTGATCATAAAGTTCGAGCAATTATTTAACACCTTTGTTTAAACAGTTCCGTTTTACTGGCAAAGTAAAGTTGCTCCTTTCTTAGAAAAACATTGCCAGTTCTTTATGACACTATATATTCATATTGTGTCCAGTTATTTAGAAAATAATTTTAAACCTGACATACATTCTTTGTGTTAAGTTAAAACATGTAATTTGTTTATTTACAAAGTGACTTGATACCAATTTTGAAATTTGACCTAAATATATCTTTAATATTTCGGCTACTAATATTTAATTCTATCAAATTAATAATATTCAGATAGCAAGAGCTAATCGTTTCTTGAAATTCAACCATGTATAAAATGTGAGGTCTACAACCTTGTTGCGTTGTCGTCATTGACTTTGTCGCTGTAGTCTTTGCCAATGATGTAGGACCTTCTGTTGAAAAAGGAAGGCAATTTACCGATAACGAAAAAATATCTACTCTTCATTTGCTGAATTTTGTAAATTGACTGATCAATTTTATCTACTGCAAAAATTGGACAAATCAGGATTAAAATGTAAAGTCAGCACTTGAGAATCATTCAAAATGTTCCGCGACCACAAGGTTACAATACTTTATTCTAATTATCTAAAGTATTATCCTTCCACACAAATATATTTTAAAAATCGTTTTATCTACCTCTCCATTGCTTCAGAGTAGTGCCGTTTGATTTCGTTTATGCCCCCATTTGTCCGTTATGAAGCACACAGAATTTTTTGTTTTTAATTTAAAGAATATTTTGTGAAATAAATCCACCATTAACAATTGTATGCAAGTTTTACAGAAAGCAATGTTTCTTACGAGATGTAGTTTCTTCCGTTCCTTCATTTGTTGAATTTCCAGATGGCTCTGCAAAATAAAATATTCCTGGTAAACAGTTGTTTTTCTATACTTTTTAATTGCTTTCTTTTTAACACCTAGTTATAAAACAGTTTTCTAAACAGAACAATTTAGTCGTAAAAATACAATATATCTGCTTGTCGGCCATTGTTTAATATGTTTTACTAATTATCATGTATAAATATTGATTAAATTATCGAAACATTTCATTTGAATAGATAACTTTGAGCAGCTTTCTAATGCTTAATCAATATGCAATATCTGATCGTGTAGTTCAAATAAAACTACATCCAAATATAATTATTTCGTTGTTTGTTGTTTCATGCATGATACTATATCCTATCAACATTCTTATTGATGGTATAACAGACCTTCAATTATGGGCCAATTTATAGAAATTCTAAGGACCTGCATTGTTTTGCTATTTCATGCGCATCTAAATTGGTTCTTTTGTGTAAAGATCGAGAAACAGAAATAGATTTGGAAGCATTAAAACGACAAAATTGCAGACTCGGTTTGATGCATGCTTAAAGCAAAATGGCATACCGGTTGTACTCTCTACATTTCCTGCTGTACTTGTTACTTCAGTTGAATCTGTGAATAAGCAAAGCAAATAGACACTGTTACATGTATGCATTTGGCAAGTTTAGTTTAGCTTTCATATGTATGATAATAATACCGGAAAAACATGATACGACGGTATAATAATTAAAAAAGCGTTATGTGTACCATCCTGTATTATAATATTCATATACGGACGCTATAACCAATCCCTTTATCCCTCTCGTCCTATTTCAGGCACTGGTAGAGGTGTTAGATTAAAACTTTACATATCAGTGCAATATAACAATGCCACTATGTCTGATAGTTTTTTCTTCAGAATTCATTTAATTTCATTTTTACGAAACATTTTGGCAAACATCGGTGATTAAGGTAAGAAAACGTCCTTATTATCCATACAAAACAGTCTTTTATGACAGACATTGAAACTATTGTATATATTAAATGCTTCGTATTAATTTCCACTTAATAAGTTGAATATGACTCTGATAACTGGCTTCATAATTTCTGACCCCTCTGAAACAATTCAATTTTCTACTGTTTTTATGGGTTTGTTTTAAATTTCATTTTTAGGACAGACAGACAGAGACACCAACACTCACTCATTTTGGGTCTTTACGTCACTTTATATTGAATGGTTTGAAAATGCATCATTATAGGCTCCAGAAAAAGCTTCCTAATAGTTTTTTGAACTCAAACTGTGAATAGACTTAGAGGTATACAAACCTGGTTGTGTTGTCGTCACTGACTTTGTCATTGTAGTCTTTGCTAATGATGTAGGGCTCTCTGTTAAAGAAAGAATACCATTTACTGATAGAGAAAATATATTCTTATCTTAACTTGCTGGATTTTTCGAAATAGACATATCATTTTTGTCTACTGCAAAATCAATATATTAGAGAAATCAAATTAAAATGTTCAGTCAGCAATTTAGAAACATTCAAAAAGTTCCGCTACTATGGGAATAACACTATTTTTTAAAAGTAGTCTCCTTCCACACAATTTGTTTCAAAAAGCGTTTTATCTACCTCTAAAATGCGTGTGTGTAGTGCCTTTTGATTTCGTGTATATCTCATTCATTCGTTAGTTATGAAGCATACAGAAATATATTTTAATACTTATCTTTTAGAAATTTAAAGATTACTGTTGTGAAACAAATGCAATAAGTATATAAATTCAACAAAATATGTTTTCTTACGTGATGTAGTTTCTTCCGTTCCTTTTCTTGTTGAATTTCCAGATGGCTCTGCAAAGAAAAATATTCAGTGTCAAGTAACAGCAGTTGTTTTTCTATACATTTAAATTACTGTCTTTATTACACCTAGAAACATGCAATTAAAACTGTTTTCTTTAACAGAACAACTAAAGCATTAATGTGCAATACATCTACTTGTCGTTCTATTGTTGAAGATATTTTCTGTTAATACAATCAAATAAATAAAGATCACTTGTGTCGATAAAAGTCTTCTCTAAAACAATGCTTTAAATAGAGCAACAGATACTCGTCTGAAACAGAAAATATGACAGGAAAGGTTTGATACATGAATATTCTTTTAATAAAATTGTACGAGAAAAATTGGACCAAAACAAGAGGAAAATCAAGTAAACTATGCTAAGTTAAGAAAATGTACATTGTAACACACATTTGCTATCAATTAAACAATGTAGGAGCTAATAAATACAGATTTGATTTAATACGTTTTAATTTAAGATACTTATATAAAAAGTCTGGCATTCAAGAAGTTTATTGCTGAACGAATAATGTAAAAGGGTTTTTTAAAAACCTAGTTACATAGTTGTTGGAGAGTTCTCTAATGATGCAGGGTTTTCTGTTGAAGAAGAACGTCAATAATGATAATGAAACCATCTTTACTCTTAGACTATATCTCTTGAAATCTCTAACAAGACATTTTTGTAATTTCCAATCTTCAATATGAGGGATTTCAAGATTAAAATTAATTGTTTCAAAAAAAAATAAAGCTGGAAATTAATAATTGGTAAAAATCTCGGAAGAACCGAATCAAATAATATTGTATGAAATATGCACACTCGATTAGTTTTAGTCGGTTCATGACAAACAACCTAGACATTTCGCCCAATTGTGGCTGGGGTTGCCTGTACTGCTTAAAGCATCAAAATTGTATCCGTTGTGACCGTCTTACCCTGCGTGATTGGAAGAGGTAACTAAATGGGTCCGAATAAGCAGGTGGTGTGGTTTTGACCCCTGGTATTGCTTAAAGTTTGTTATACCTGAAAGTTGCCAAAATTATTTTCCTTTTTCGGCGCCATATGACTCAAACCTATTTATTTTCTTAAGAAATTCAACATTTAAAAAGTAAATGAACTCTCTAACCAGTTGAACTTTCTTCCATTTCGGCATCATTTGGTGATATTGTCGATGATCCTGCAAAATAAAAAAACGCAAACAAATACGTCCCAATCCATTCGTTTAGTTTATAAAATTTCATTTTGCCTTCATATTTCTTCTTTCATTTCTTATTGACGTACTTTATTTACTTCTTTGTGTAGTGAGATTGATTTCAATAGTGTGCAATACCACGGAAAAGCTTACCTAATCTATTACAAAACAATTAATTGTATGAAAAATGAAACACATCAATAACATCATAATGATGATAATTATCTCGTATTTCCATTGATGTCAATGTATATTATTTGTATTGAATAATGTATATTATTGGTATTGAAATGTTTATTGTTGTTATTAGCATAGACGCATGAAATTGAATTTCTCAGCCAAAATTTAAGCAAAACAATGGTATACATAAACATTTTATACAAACTATTTTTACTAAAGAAAATAAGTGATATTACATATTAAAAAACAATTTTTTGACTGACAAATTTAAAATTATACAAATGAGTTGCCTTTCTATCACAAGGAAGATGTTTGAAAATTTGCTAATACTTTTTTTTAACTAAAAAACTTACTTTAATTTATCTCAAATATTAAACTTAAAGATCTTGTAAAACAATTTGTTATGGTTTTATATCATAAATGTTATGCCAAAATGAAGAATTATCAATATTGTAAGTTCCAACAAGAGCACCGCTAGGCGGAGCATTATATGCCCAAAAGTGTTTTTTTTTAGTAAGGATGAAGCATTTGTAAGACATGGGAATTAAGTAAAGTATAACCTCCTTCAAATAGCAATCCTCCTATGAAGTTTGAATATTGTTGGCCAAAAGGAACTGAAATTATGCTCCGGAAACTTTTTTCAGTTTTAAGGTAATAGTGACCTTGAACTTGTAACCTTGTGACCCCAAAATCAATAGGGGTGTTTTACCTTATATAGACAATCATTCTATGAAGTTTGAACACTGTGGGCCAAATGGAACTTAAGTTAGGATATGGAAACTGTTTTCAGTTTTAAAGTAATAATGACCTGTGTCCTTGTAACCCCAAAATCAATAGGGGTCTTCTACCCAATATGGACAATCATCCTACGAAGTTTGAACACTGTGGGCCAAATGGAACTTAAGTTATGTTCTGGAAACTGTTTTCAGTTTTTAGGTAATAGTGTCCTTGACCTTTGACCTTGTGACTCCAAAATCAATAAGGATCATCTGCCCAATATGGACAATCATCCTATGAAGTTTGAACACTGTGGGCCAAATGGAACTTAAGTTGTGTTCTGGAAACTGTTTTCAGTTTTAAGGTAATAGTGACCTTGACCTTTGACTTTGTGACTCCAAAATCGATAGGGATCTTCTAAACAATATGGACAATCATACTATGAAGTTTGAACATTGTGGGCCAAATGGAACTTAAATTATGCTCCGGAAACTGTTTTCAGTTTCAAGGTGATAATTACCTTGACCTTTGACCTTGTGATCCGAAAATCAATAGGGGTCTTCTTCCCAATATGGACAATCATTCTATTAAGATTTAACACTGTGGGCCAAATGGAACTTAAGTTATACTCCGGAAACTATTTTCAGGTTTAAGGTTATAGTGACCTTGACCTTTGACATTGTGACCCCAAAATCAATAGGGGTCTATTACCCAATATGGCCAATCATCCTATGAAGTTTGAACACTGTGGGCCAAATGAATCTTAAGTTGTGCTCCGGAAACTGTTTTCAGTTTTAATGTAATAGTGACCTTGACCTTTGACCTTGTGACCCTAAAATCAATAGAGGTCTTCTACCCAATATGGGCAATCATCCTATTAAGTTTGAATATTGTGGGCCAAATGGAACTTAAGTTATGCTCCGGAAACCAAATTGATAACGGACGGACGGACGTACGGACGTTCCAACATTTTGGCATTAGGGGCTATTTTCTTTGTTATTTTCTTTGTTTTCTACTAGCCCCTAAACCCTTTGATCACGGAATGAACCTATTGTTCTCTTTTGTTCTCTTTACTGTTATATAGCCCTAAACCCAAAATGTTTGCTCGGACGGAATGACAAACAGACAGACGGACGGACGCCAGGGGGTATAACACAATATGCCCGAAATTTTTTCGGGCATATAAAAAGCATAATTTGTAAAGATATATCCGAAATTACATTTCATGAAAATAAAGGGAGGTAATTAGAAATTTGTTTTTGATAAATTCTAAGCCAAATATTTCAATAAGAAATGAATACATGATTACATATAATGTGGATACATATTTGCAGACATTGGAAGAACATCTTATGTGCAATAAATAACCTTACATAATATAAGATATTTACTTCCTTGTTCACAGAAAAAAAGATATTTCCGTTTGATCTAGTCTTACACAGCATTATACTTTATTGAACAAATAATAACACTTCTTGCTGGCAGGAAATCTTTCAACGATCTTTCTATAGTTATGAGCCCATTTGTTCAAAACTTTTGTTAATTTTAACAACAAATATCTTAACCCATGACCGCATGATCATGAAAATGTTTTCATTGAAAAGTCTTACAAGTTAAATTGCTATGAAACTATAAAAGAAATGCTTCAATATCAATCAAACTTGACAAAAATGTTGACTGGACCATTGCCTTTGCAACATTATACCCAGTCTTAAATTTTCTGTTACTATGGCAACGAAGAGACATATCAAATGATGTGCCAAAAACTATTTTTTGCGTTGATTTTTTCCATCAAAATTGATTTCAAAGTGCCACAACTTCTCAATTGATTGCGATAGAGTCAAAAGCTTTTCAGCGTTGGCTACATGTTATCTTAAGATCGACCTGGGGTTATTTTCAACCTCTTACAAGTTTTTTGTAAGTTTCTCGGTACGGTTAGTGTTTCGAGAGTATCTAAATTTTAATGATAAAATATATGAATTCCAATCTGACTTTAGTAAACCATATCATATACTAGTTGCCACGTTTACTGTTGGACAGACCAGTTTGTATTTCAGGAAACACAAATAAGTCTACAGTATGACTCAAACATGCGATTTCTGGGTGAGAAACATACACATTAATCAATAGCAGACCAATCCAATTTCATTTTATAATTGAAACACTGCTGCTGATATGACAATATATGATAATAGTATATTCTTACTAAAATAAGCACTGTTAGTTTTAATCCAGTTAGTTAAATGTATCAGTGTTTAACGATTGAAATACTATCGTCTTAAGAGTTTTTTTATCAAGTTGTTTGTCAGTGTATCGGTTAATTACCGTAATACCATATCTGGTAATTGTATGGCAATTTATGATCTGGCATGAAACTGAGATCTTATCAAATCACATACGAGAAACGTGAAATATTGGTCTGAATGATTTTATTAAGATATTTTGAATACGATTTAAACTGACAATTGAATATCCTATTTATAATTCTGAAGTAGTATGAAAAAATACACATATAGCTCGTATTGATAAAAATAGGAAAAGATTTCTATTCAGATGTCATTTTTTTCATTCCGCAACACTTTTTTGATACACAAGATGGCTCTTTAAAATAACCCTATTTTCAAATACACATTTTTAATTCTGTTTACGATCTTTTTACAGTCATATATGTTACTAAATGTTATCTAACGTTTAACGTTCTGGTTATTATAAATGAGATTATGCAAATAAAGCAAAAGTAAAACACGAATTCCCTTTTCGTCACATTATCTGGTTAAGTAGGTACTTATTGTAGATGTTATTATTCCATACTAATAAAAGCTTTGGATCTTAGGTACATGACATTATGAACAATCGCTTTTTATATTCGAAAATATTTTAAACCTGTCATGTCTGTTTATTTAAGTAATTTAGTTTTTCTTTTATATTGAAAATCTACAAGTCGGTTAATTCGGTCATATTTATTTACCATTCCAGAACGATCACACTTTGTACCATTAAACACGATATTGTTTTACATGAACACAATGATATGTTACTTTTATAATTATCTATTGATACAATTCTTAATGTTATGACGATTGCCCTTACACAGTTTCTAAGATAACTTTGTCAGTGTTCTAGATTGATATTCTCAAATTGATGAAGACAAATCATTAATACATTCATATTTATCATTGGGGGGGGGGACCCTTGTATGCAACTTTAAATAACCAAATTTGCTCTATGTAAACCAAGAAAGTCAACCCCATAAATACAATCGCCGTTCTTATTGCGATCGTCGTAAAAACGCATTTTTGTTCGGATACGCGTGCGGTATTGTCACGGAATATCGGGATTTTCGTATTCTAATTTGCATATATATGAACATTGGGTTACGAAATGTAGACAAACGCTGCCAGATTTACGTCGTAAGCAAAGGTTTATCAACAAGCTGTAAATCTATAAAAAAATCGTTTGGTTAAATTTGGTAAATATGTAAGGCTATTTACTGCATATGCTGCAAGGCTGCATGTGCCCTATTTCCACTACTAGATGAGAACATGGTCTTATGGTGTAACACAATGTGCAAAATAAACTTTATAAACGTTTGTAAAATTTGTTTTTTCGCAAGGCATTTTCGCAAATCGCAAATTTATCAACCATCTCTTTCGAAGATTTGAATAGCAAATAAGATTTGTTATTGTAAATGACACAAATGCTACGCCGTTAATATAGTCCAACAAAATTTATTTCGTGAAATTTTAGAAAGAAAATTGATCTTGTTTTATTTTTGAGTGCGTGGGACGGTCTGGGTGATTATTCCTGCCAACTTAACACCATATCGTGCAACATATCACTCAATCAAGATCTCAATGTATTTCCTAAATATATTTGAAATACTAATCTTTTTATGATATGTTTGTAAAAGAAAATATTGCTAGCAAGGAAAGAAATTACACTAATATTGTTTTGGCCAGTGATGTTAAAATATTATAACTTTCAATATCATAAAAAGTAAAAATCTATGACAATAATGTAAATATACAATAAATAGCAATACATGAAAAATATTATATTCACGGAAAATATAAGAGTAATTTAAAAAGTAGTTTACCTGTGTTTTCGTCTGTAATGTCATTGTGAAAAATAACAATCAGCGGAATAGCAACACTACATACACAAACAACAGCAAGTACAATCAACGAGTATTTTATTTTGCTTCTCTTTTCTAACGTTGAACTGGAAGGCCCAAAACCAGTCGGTCGATCTTCTGATTCACCATGTTCGGTAAATGCACTTTCTCCTCGGTCCTTTCTGGATACAATGTATTTTGCTTTCTTGTTGGCTAAAGCTTTTTTCATGTCTGGGCTTTACCGGGCTAACTACTGAAATGAATTTCAATGTCTCCGTATCTTTATAAGTGACGGTTACGCGGAAGAGTTATTAAAATACAACTGAAATATATTGTTTGTTGAAGGCCACTTGTGCTGCACGTACACAGTTAAATAGCAATTAAATTTAAGAATGTTTTTGTACGAAATGGACTTAAAATTTCAAAAAAAAAATCTGTATCTTTTGATTTCTACTGAAACCGCCTTCGATAATAATTGCTCCTAAATCTTAACTATAAAGGAACCAACGTTTTTGATAAACATATTTGAAAAGGCCATTATTTAAACCCTTATTTTAAGCACGTTATAACTATTTTGTTGTCATAATAATATCTGACAATAGATGATCACTGATTCGGAACGCAATTGTTAACTTCTTATACTGGAAGAAACACAGTACCAGATTGGGTAAAATATAAACACAAAAACAAAAACAAAACAATGTTAATAATTATTATGTCTATCTTATGTTCGTTTTTACAGATGTCCTTTGACAGTTTCTTGTATATACCGATCATGAAAATACTGGAGTCGTCATTGCAGTTAACTATTTGACATGGTCAAGCATATTAAAACGAGCAACAACGACTTTTATCTTCTTTTCTTTAAATTTATACCTGTCATTGCAGTTTTTTATGCAGGGATATAAAGTAAAGTATCATATTTCAGAATCACTGTTAAACTATCATCTTATTTCAAAAGTAATTTTTCAAATGCTTTTCCTTCTTTTTTAAATGTTTTATAGTGAAGCCGCAATTGCGAACAATAAGTACAATTGGTGATATGTTATTCAATTTAACTAATTACCATTATGTTATATCAGTCAAATATATTTCAAATTTGTTTAAAATAAATATGAAACTTCAATATGAAAAAGGGCGAAACGCATATTTATTTTAAGGGACTTCTTTCTCATGTTTCTTTCAGCTCCATTTCAGACAGTTCACTTCATTATCATTATTTTTACTAAAAACCTCTAGATTAAGTAATATTCTAACACTGTCGGAGATTTCTCTTACATAAACAAAGATGACCGGTAGCAATGCCCTCTCCGTTCTTATTTCTCTCTTTTGTATTTTGCAAACTGCCATTTTATCTGAACAATCTGAGAAATAAAATAAACTTTTGTTAAATTTTTTTTCTGAAAACTATCTAGAAAGATAGAAAATCGTCTACCTAAGAAAATATATCCGAATATAAATATCTTTAATTCAGACATTAACGCTGTACAAATGTTTAAAAGTGTTGTTTACGTTACGTCACAATGTAGCGGAAAAAAAACAGTCAAACCAAAAACCTATTTCAATGCCGCAAGCTAATTAAAGTTTACAATTATTTTACTATAAATACCCTACATTTCGCATAAAAATAATAATTGAAATAAGATAAACGTGCTTGGTAGCGTGGACAGTAGATTGCACATGACAGTACCGTCCATGATCAGGCGCAATTAAACCAAGCCTACAACATTTTCAATTTTGCCGTGTAGGGATTTCTTTATGGATTTTTTCACTATTTTATAGCCACATATGCGTTGTTTGTGTCGTATGGAGGCTGTAAAGAGTCGCCCCGTACATTCATTCAGAGATGTTATATTTCCGATTCTTAAAGATCGTTCAGCACGACATTATTGTTGTGGTTGTGGTTATTTAGTTCTTTCTATTCGACATTTTCTTGTTGGGTGGTTCCACTATTCCTCACTTGAATTCTGTTGAATCACGCTTAGGTTATGTGGACATTTAAAATTTGTCTTTTGATGTCATCTGTGATATGCAGGCTTCATAACCTGTGATTCCCTTTCAAAAATCCATTTTATTTAGTTCTGCCTATTGTTGGGGACCATATACCGCTTTTCATTGAATGGCCCTGATGTGTCACATTGTAGGTTCCATGATAACCGCCATATGAACTATGTGCGGATGTATCAAAATTCAAAATTGTACCAATTCATGTGAATTTTGCTCAAGCCGGTGCAAGTGGCGTGGACAGTAGTTGCACATGACAGAACCGCCCATGAACAGGCTCAATCAAACCGAGCCTGCAACACTTTCAATTTTACCATGTTTGGCTTTCTCTAGGGATTCCTGCGCTCTTGGAAGTTGCTGCAGTTTTAGACTTGCTGCAGTGTTGGCCAGCTAAGACTTGCTGCACTCCTTAGATTTGCTGCGTTCCTTGGACTTGCTACACATTTTACACTTGCTGCGCAACCTAATTTGCTGTGCAACTTAGACTTGGATTTTCCGATAGCCTTTGCACAAATCGATCTTGATAAAAAAACTTAGCATCTTTTATCTTTGCCATGATGTTATCCACGCTTGTTTTGTATTTCAATGTCTACATCTTGTCGCTTGACATATGGTATCGGACAATGCTTCACTCTTACATGATTCGTGTCTGTTTATTTAACATGATGCTCTTTTAACAGAGTTGTTCCGAGTAGCTCTGAAAATACACAACTAAATTCTTGAAGTATGTAAATGATTTCCTACCTCTGTTCTAGGGTAGGTCCTTCGCTGATGTTAACATCTTGGTATGTCTCTCCATTTGTGGACTTAAAAAGGTCTAGGTGAGTTTCGTCATCTACCACTACATCTGAATTGTTATCAATTTCTCCTATCATCACAACACTTGCTGCAATCTTATCTTGGCGTTCTTCATACTTTTTTTTCTTACATTACAGGATCAATGATCACCACCGTATAAACACACCGGTGGATGTTTCTTAATTCAAAATGATACTTGTAAATTTTCATTTGTGCCATTTTGCGCGTTCTTAAAAGATCCCTTTTTCTCTATTTCAACATGTCTACAAATTTAATCCTGCGATCAAATTTATTAATAACTTCGACAATTTTAAAAGGTACTTTGCATTATAAAATTATCTTATTTTTTTGTTGGTAAAAGCAGCAAAACTTATCTCCTACTCTATTTTGGGCTCTCTTGTCGTAGTGATGCTTGTATGTGATCTTTGCTAGGGGTTGCGTTCATTGAATACTGCCCTTCCTTGATGATCTTGTTTTTCATATATCATTAGGCTTTTTCTGGCTTAATCTTGATAAAGTGTGATCCCCCGGAAGCAATATCACAACAAAATTACATGAAACTTGTACAGTGGGGACATGAGGGATAATGAAAACGTGCAACTTCCTTCACGCCTTCTAGCATCCGCTTGAGCGGTACCAAGATTTTTTTCAATGAAGAGCCATCCTTAGTTGGAAGTTCTTTTCTCTTGAGCTGTACTCTCGTCATGACTGCTGCAGCAGCGGATGTATTATGATTAGGCCTATAAAATTATCCGGCAGCGTAACCGATCACTTATCAAAGACTTTAAAAGGCACCATTGCCACTTTTTCCCAAACACAGTACTGCGTGTCTAATATTTTTTGCCAAAGGCACAACTTTAGCATCTCCGTCAATTGTAATCATGACAACTTCTTAACACGGGAGTTCTTCTTGTTTAACAACTTCCTTAAAGTCGTTAACTCACATCAAGTATCTCTAAACACTTAAATTGCGTCTTTACTGTCAAACCTTTCTTAAATTCAAAGTTTCTTTTTTTCTAGTCAGCCAATGGTACCAGCTCCAGCAAGTATCAGCACGGTTTCTCTACTCGCTAAAAATAACTTCCATTGTCCATCTTCAAAGAATTTTTATCTAGAGGATAAAGCAAATATGAAAAATAAAATCAAGGGCGGCATTCAATGAACGCATTTCTAAACATATGACCAGCAGCAAGGAGCACAGCAGGACATCAAACAGAACAGAGCATACGGGAAAAAAGTATGGGATGTTATAATAATGCAGAAATAATAGAAACTCACAACGTAATTAATAATACATAATTAATTAAATAATTAATTAATTAATTGATTAATTAATTAATTAATTAATTAATTAATTAATTGAGGTCTGCTTTGTTACATACGGCTGCTACATTGCGATCATTTCATACATGTTCTGGTTTTGTCTATTTGCAATCTTTTGCAATATGCCTAGTCAATAGCCATCATATTGTAAATACATTGTAAAGTAAATTCTCGGTGCCTGGCTTCTGCTATTCTGCCGGCAGTATCTGGCTAAACTGCTTGCTTTATTATAAATAAAGCATGTCGTCATTGGCTAATTTCAGTTGTCCGTCAGTTTGCCTGATGTCTCTGTTATGGATCTCTTGCTTAGCTACCCTTGTTCTAGAAAAGGAGAACCCCTTGCAAAAAGGCGCCCTTTATAGTTGTCTATGGTTTGCTCTGCAAGGCCCTTTAACTACTCTAGCGAGGTTGACACTTCTTTGTTAAAAAAGACGGGGCAAAATATGCGGAAGACCCCTAAATATACTTTTTTATTACGAGCTCACTTTGTCCGTTACAGTTCTGTGCGATTCTAGCCTTATCTGTCCATCTTTTAAATTAACGTCTCAATTTGTCGGTGATTTGTTAAACAGACTCACTTGGAAGCGGTCTCTTCTGTCTAACTTTCAACCTGAAACCATCTTCAGTTAACTGAAACCGTTTTAAATTGTCCCTATTTTGCTTCTTCAATGGGCAAACAAGTAAATTCATTAAGACTTAGCCCTGATAGTAATGATGTATGGCCCGAGTGTCTTTCTCCTAGTCTTAAATTATGGCAAATTACTCCAGAAATGAAAATAAGTATAATTAGTATCTATTGTTTCATTGAATTTATGTATTCTCGGTCCTGTTTTATCCATCACCTTCTTCAGAAATTATACATTTTTGTTCAATAAATGATTGTTAATTGATGATCGAATCTAAAATAATGATTTTAAACATTTGTTATGTGTCTGATAAATGCAGATTAAACATTTTAATCTTCATATTGATCTGATTACCTGAAACGTCATTCATTATCACTGTATTTTTAACATGTAGGCTATTGATTCAACCGTCAGCAGTTATTCTCCTTTGAAATTAGCTTTTTACACTTTTGGAAAAGTAGCAATCTTTTACGTATTTTCCTACAACTTTTCTTCTTCGTTGATCGTTGTTTTTCGTTTTGTTTTCATATATAATCAAGTTTATAAAGTGTGGATTT